CTCAATTTTTCCATCGAATCGTTCACCGTCGTTATTAACCCCTTGGCTACTGTGGGCGCATATACGAGCTCAGAAATTTTGCTTTTGGGATTATAACGCATATAAGCGCTCAATACAGTTTGCTTTCCTGACACGGAGGGCGCATCTCTACCGAAAATTTTGCCGTTCTTGGCGAATATTGTAAATGAATTCCTACCCGTGTGGTACGATCGGTGCGTTTCAAAGTCAAAGGGTTAAGAGCCTTTTCCAAAAGGGTTTCACTCGATTTGAGTTAATTTTTTTCCCCGACTAAGGTAACTGCAAATTAATTTTTACTCTCCAAGATCGGGGACATCGATAGGTGTTCTGGAATGGAAGAGAAAGAAAATTCCGATGGGAGACAGATGTTGGACGATTCGACGAGATCTATCATCCCGTAACCTGACTTCCACTCAGTAATTACAGCTTTCTTTACTCACAGCTGTATCTCGCGTTCGCGTGAATTTCACGGCAAGGAAAAACGAGACGCGGAACGGCGAGCGTTGGCCATGAAAATCGCGACTCTCGTTAGGCGAAGAGATATCCGTCGCGCGATAACGTTCGAATCCAGGTTAGAAATCGTTGATTTATAAATAATGGCCGAAGAAATCGTAAAATCCGAGATTTCTCGCGATACGCGCATTGTCAACGCGCGAGGACGCCGAAGCGGTTCGCGGCTGTTTCCCCGTGGCAACCGAACGGTCCTCGTGCCCGAGCAAATTGCATGCCGTTACGCGGCAAATAACGCGAGTGGAAAAGACGCAAATGAGCGGAGAAACGCAGATTCGAAACGCGCGTGGAAGGATTTCGTCATCGCAGATGCTCGGCTCGGAATACTCCGCGAGTCACCGCTCGGACCGCTTTACGGTAAAACGCCGCATACCGATCACCTGTTTTACCGGCAACCGCGATAAATCCTCCTCGAACGTGCATCGAGTCGTAGATCGCGTTTTTTCCAGTCCTGTACTCCATATTTTGGTCGATCGCGGGATATCGAATATCGAAAAATCGCGATATCGAAATATTTGCAAATTCGAAAGGTTCGTGGATCTAGCCCGAAGGAACTACGAAAAATAAATGAAGAATAAACGAAGGATCAATGAATCCTTGAGAGATAAATCACAGTCGAATGTGGATTAACCCTGTGCACTCGAGAGGTGCCTCTAGGTCACCATTTCATAAAATTTCGAAGCTCGATATTAGCCCTTTGCACTCGAGAGGTAACCCTCAGTCACCATTTCATAAAATTTGGAAGATCTATAGTAATTAATATATCAAATTTAATGTAATGTAATAGTGTGCGAGGTATCGAAATCAAGTAATTCTACAATTCTATTATTATACGATACTTTATTTACTACTCAAAAAAGTATCGTCAGCTTTTTAATAGAGAATCTCTGAATTTCTACCCATCTCTGGCCAGAAAATCGTCGAGTGCAAAGGGTTAATTAATATATCAAATTTAAAATAATGTAGCAGTATAATTTCTACCCATCTCTGGCCAGAAAATCGTCGAGTGCAAAGGGTTAATTAATATATCAAATTTTAAATAATGTAGCAGTATGCGAGGTATCGAAATTGAATAATTCTACGTATTAATTATTATACGATTTCTTATTTACTGCTCAAAAAATATCATCAACCTTATGGAAGAAAATTTTTCAACTCGTACCCCTCTTTAGTCAAAAAATCGTCGAGCGCAAAGGGTTAACTCGTCCATCGATAATGTTGGAATGCCAAAAACACAAGTCGAGACATCTTAGATATAACCTCGATGTAAAAATGTTTTTTGATTACGTACTAATGCATGATTGTATACGTGTCGGTCACCAGCTAAATTCTTTTGTTCAAACGACTCAGTCTCTATGAAATCGTTGTACTGAATAGTACCGATCGAGTTATCTATTATTAAAGTGTTGCCTTTTATAATTAGCGTTCCTTTCTTTTAACTCCACTGCCATCGCAAATTCTATCAGATAAACTGAGTACTCCTTATATGGATATTTTGACTCGAAGAGTTCGAATACCTGGATATTTATCGGACGATAAGAGAGAAGCAAATTGGATGTCGATAAAATCGCGACAAATCGATCTTCGTCGAGTTAACTTCAGCTACTTTGATCGTTCGCGTGTTTAAGGTATTTCGAAATAGTTAAAGTTCGTAGATCCGACTAGACAGATAGAAGGATCGAATTTTGAACGAGAGATCGGAATAGCTAATGATACCGATCGAAGAGGATTGTGGAGAAGTCATCACGAAAGAGCGTTAGATCTTGCACGCTCTCTCCTCGGCCTTCCCCTGTTAGAGTTTCTCTACGTCGGTGACACGAAATTGATCGAGTCTCGAAATCAATTTCATTGCGTCGACTAACGACGAGCCGGGAGAATCGGCCGATTCACGGATCAGATCGTTGTTTCTCCATCGGAGAAATTACACGCGTGTAATCGGCATTCGCGGCGCACGAAAAGGAAGTTTGCGAGTCGATTGCACGCGCATTATGGTTTTCACTTAAATCAGCTGCGCTTAAGAATCGATCGAGGCAGATGATCTTACGAGTCGCGTTTCGATAATTAACCGGTAATAACGATGACTATAATCTTGCGCAAGAAGGATCGCGTAATTATCGTACCGTGCTCGGCAAAAATGATCGAATTGATAACTAGTCTCTGGGTAGTCTCCCGATACGATAGCTCGTTAATCAGCAGATAAGATAAAATCGTACGGAATCGTGCTCATTAATATTCTGTCCAACCATGACTCTCGTTATTAGAACGTATTACCTTTCACGGCTTTCCGAAGACTTTAATTATCCCCGCATGTGCGCCAAATTAGCGGCCGACTCGGCCGAGGCTACTTTGTATCGTCATCTGAAGCTGTTTAACGCTAAATCACCGCGGCTCTTGCGTTATGATCATAACGAGACGTTGAAACGTTTTTACGTCATCGGACGGCGAAAAACTTTCCATACGCGCCGCCATCTCTGCGAGGTACGCGAGACCAGACGATCCAGACTTTTGCCTACAAATTTCTAATTTTTAATTTCATCCATCTTCGTCTCTTCGGCTTGTCTCTAAAAGCAGCGTATATTACGCGTATATTTACCGACAAAGGTTAAAAAGCACGCGTTAAAAGTAAATATAGAATACGAAGATAACTTCGCGTAAATCAATAAACGATAAATTCCGTCGAATATCTCCCATAAAGCCAATTTTTAATTTTAGTCCCCGTATCTCGGCAGATAAAAGCGTGGAGAGAAAAAATACGAAAAAGGGGGATAAAAATCTCGCGACCAAGAATCATCTGTCGAGTACCAGGGATCGAACTACAACGTTTAAATTCCAAAGTCCGAATTTCGAATTTCGATGTCGCATGGACCGAGGTCTCGGATTCGAGGACCGTCGCTCGAATCGTTATCGCAGCGGTGAAAAGGAACAGAGCCTAGGGGGAAAAAGGGACCAGACGACAGGGATCCCCGCGATGCGACGCCTGGTTCGGGAGCAGCTCGATACACTTTCGGATCCTTTCACTGGCGAGCCTATTGGAATCGGTGAGCGTCGGTCGAGCGGCAACGACGACGCGGCGTCGTGGACGCGGCAAGGACGCGGCAAGCTGAAAGGAGCCACGATAAAAGGAGGATCCGTTGGAAAGGCTCGACAGCTATACATTATCCTGACCGCAGGACCGCTCGCTTTCGCCGCGTCGACACGCCTGGCGTGCGTCTAACCGTCCAAAGCGACCATATCTGGCGAGTCTCCGTTTCTTTCTCGCGAGAGACGCGTCTAAACACGCGCTACGCGTCCGCGAATCGCGGTTTATTACACGGCCAACAGGCAACACGCGACCGATGATCTAACAGCCACTCCGTGAGCCGCCTTTGCTATCGACGCTTTTCGTTTCGTCACGACGTGTTTGCTATCGACGCTTTTCGTTTCGTCACGACACGTTTGCTATCGACGCTTTCCGTTTCGTCACGACGCTTTTCGTTTGTTATCGACGTTTTTCGTTTCGTCACGACGCGTTTGCTATCGACGCTTTCCGTTTCACCACGACGCTTTTCGTTTGCTATCGACGCTTTTCGTTTGCTATCGACACTTTTTGTTTGCTATCGACGCTTTCTGTTTCGTCACGACGCGTTTACTATCGACGCTTTTCGTTTCGTCACAACGCTTTTCGTTTGCTATCGACGCTTTCCGTTTCACCACGACGCTTTTCGTTTGCTATCGACGCTTTTCGTTTGCTATCGACACTTTTTGTTTGCTATCGACGCTTTCTGTTTCGTCACGACGCGTTTACTATCGACGCTTTTCGTTTCGTCACAACGCTTTTCGTTTGCTATCGACGCTTTCCGTTTCACCACGACGCTTTTCGTTTGCTATCGACGCTTTTCGTTTGCTATCGACACTTTTCGTTTGCTATCGACGCTTTTCGTTTCGTCACGACGCGTTTGCTATCGACGCTTTCCGTTTCGTCACGACGCTTTTCGTTTGCTATCGACGCTTTTCGTTTGCTATCGACGCTTTCTGTTTCGTCACGACGCGTTTACTATCGACGCTTTCCGTTTCGTCACGACGCTTTTCGTTTGCTATCGACAATTTTCGTTTCGTCACGACACGTTTGCTATCAACGCTTTCCGTTTTGTTACGACGCTTTTCGTTTCGTCACGACGCGCCTCGCGAACTTTGCCGATTTTTCGAATCGTCCTCCAACGATGTTCATTGAGAAGATAGGATTCGAAACTGTTTACGAAGCTAACGCAGAAGCGAGTCTACAGAGACGTTGGGACGAAAGGTCGGAAAGAAGTTGATCCGCGAGAGCTGGTATTCCGGGAAGGAGGACGATTGTTACAATATCTTGCGGTTAACGACGAGCTTTTAGGATTAATTAGGTAGATAACAGCGAATCGGGTAAACAAGTGATTAATCTGTTTACGAAGCATAGGATCATCGTGTCACGAGATAAATCGTGGAATTGTTCTACTTACGCCTCGCAATATGGCTGCTTGTTGAAACCCTTGTACGTCCGCATGTTCAGGATCATGCCGCAACCCTGGCACTTGAAACACTGCTTGTGCCATATCTGAAAGAATTGGATTTTTGTTACACCATTGCAAATGCGAAAGTAAATTATCGGCTCGTTATGGAACAGGTAGTTACACGGATATTTAACGCTAGAACCGTTATACCTGTTATACGGGGATGAATATCGCGTACATATGCGATATCAATCCTTTGCACTCGAAAGGTGACCCTCAGTCACCATTTCATAAAATTTGGAAGATCGATATTAATTAATATATCAGATTTAATGTAATGTAACAGTGTGCGAAGTATCGAAATCAAATAATTCTACAAATCTTTATTTACTGCTCAAAAAAGTACCGTCAGTATTTTAGTAGAGAATCTTTGATTTTCTCTAATCTAAAAATCGTCGAGTGCAAAGGGTTAATTAAAACGTTAGAATGAAAATAAATAAGTATATGTAATTATGTTTCTATCTGAATAATCACTGATATTGATATCACTGATCTTCAATTTCCATTCATATTTATTGGGATTATGGGTACAAAGAAATAATTATCGTTTTTTATAATTATCTTTATTCTACGCTTAGAAAGATATATCTTCAATGTTCTAACTGTGAAGAGTCAAAAGGGTATGCAATTGCAGGTCGTCCTGGTCCCCTAATTCTTATCTACAGCGTGAAGTAAACGCTTCACGCGTTCCTGGAACCTCTTCGATGCATAGTTCAAACACATATCTATTTCTCCTAAGAGATTGATTTTTCTAAATAGATATTTGTAATTAAGGCGTATCTAATTTTCAACATTATTTATTCAATCTAAACGTCCAAGAATATTTGCATAATTGGAAAGATTAACCCTTTGCACTCGATGATTTTTTCGTTACAGAAAGATAGTAATTCGAAGATCTGTCATAAAGTCGATGATATTTTCAAAATGGAAAATAAGAAATCGTATGCAAATTAAGACGTAGAATTATTTTACTTCCACATTGCACGCATCGTTAGGTAATTTTAAATTTGATATATCAATTAACATCGATCTTTAGAATCTGATTAAATGGCGACTGAGAGTGCAAAGGGTTAACCCTTTGACAGTAAGATAAAATTACGAATTTAGGTCAAAAAAATGTAAAAACACGTGTTTTATATGTATCTTGTTAGCAATTGGTTCGTGCATAGTACTAGTAGCCCCATGTGACTGTCACGAGATAAACTGTTAATGGGTTAAAAACAGAGTCATCGAGGATGCTCCAAAATCATTCGATTTTCGTATTTCTTCCTTCGTCGAATACGAAATCATCGCTGCACAGTGGGAATAAAGGTAAATACGGGAGATAGGTGGAATCGTTGCAAGTGGCGTAGAAAAATGAACAATCAAGCGAAGAACGATTCGGCAGTATCGCGTACACGAAACCGATCGTTTCGCTCGGCGTATTTTCACCCACGCACAGGAAAGAGACATTATCCGGGGGTTTCCGCGGGAAACAAAAGGCACCTAATCGCGGCGATGCCTTTGTTTCATTGTTACTCATCGGTAGCATCTAACGATAGGACGCAGCCTCCCAACATTGTCTTCCGTACGTCGGGATTTATCACGAGTCAGCAACAAGAACGCGCTCCGACTCGACCATCCGTTTTCCAGCGTTATCCGTTGGGCGATCGCCGCGAAATACGATCGGTCGATACTGCGCGATGAAATCGTCAAACGAGCAAAACGGGTAATTATCGTTTCCCCGATGCCGACATGGTCGAAAGTCACTCGGGATCGATGCAGAGACGATCGGGTACAGGGATCGACGCGCGTTTCCATCCGCGATGGAGACTCTGACGGACAGATCGCGCGAGATCGCGTCGAATTGCGTGCCGAGTCGATCCATCGATCGAACAGTTTCCCACAGCTGACCCAGAGATAACCGAAGGCCGTGGCGGTTGCCGGTCGATAATTGGCAAGGCTGTCGGTGATGTCAGATAATCGAATAAGGTCGCGGATCTTGGAGTAGAACGACCGTCGCGAGAAGGCCTGCACCCGGAAAGAGAGAAATGAGTCACGAGCATGTGAGTCAACTCGCTGATCGCGGTCAACAAAGGGTTATAATTATTCCTCGCGCCGATCCGCCTCGCCACTCGCCGAACGCTTTTTATTCCTCCAGCGTTCCATCGCGTTTAGAGCTTGCGCGAACGACGAGGATCGGGGCCAGGAGGAAATTAAAGCGCGGACGGGAACGTTCTCAGGGGATGAACAATCGGCCAAGCAATGGGGAATTCTTATCTAGAGATTCTATGGAGTGGACGACTCGCCGCAAAGATGGAGAACGCGAATGCTAGTGAAAATGTTGTTGGAGTAGACGTAAGAAATTTATGACGTAGGCTGAAAGAGTCTACACGTAGTGGGAGAGATTTCCCAAGGTGAAAGAAAACCCAAAAATCCTGGGTCAGTTGTTAAGAGGAGGCGTATTCTGTTGGACATGCTCCCTCGAGTATCTCTAAAATAAAGCCTCTAATCTCTGTTGCCATACGACGAGTTTTATTTTGCCCACGCTTTAATTTTTACCCAGCTTCTTCTAATTCGATAAATGCACTAGATAAACGAAGAGCACTCTACTTCCAAGCTCCTCTCGCGAATGATTAGTAAAAGGACCGATGAAACGGTGAAAAATTGTTGAAAGAAAGTCAATGCACAGATCTAGCGCGACCGCTTCGTCGCGAGGATCGAGAATGCGAGAAAATTTTGAAGAAATTGCGAATGCCGGTGAAAATGTAGTAAATAGACGAAGAGCACTATGCTTCCAAGTTCATCTCGCGAATAATCGGTGAAACGACCAATGAAATAGCGAAAAATTGTTGAAAGAAAGTCAATGCACAGTTCCAGCGCGACCGCTTCGTCGCCGGGATCGAGAACGCGAGAAAATTTTGGAGAAATTGCGAATGCCGGTGAAAATATAATAGATGGAAAAAGAGCACTCTGATTCGAAGATCCTGTCGCGAATGATCGGTGAAACCACCGAGGAAACGGTGAAAAATTGTTGAAAGAAAGTCAATGCACAGCTCTAGCGCGACCCTTCGCCACGAGGATGGAAAACGCCAGAAAACTTCGGTGGAAACGCGAGTACCGGTGAAAATGAAGTAAATATGCGAAGAGCACTATGCTTCCAAGTTCATCTTGCTAATAATCGGTGAAATCACCGATGAAACGGCGAAAACTTGTTGAAAGAAAGTCAATGCACACCTCTAGCGCAACCCTTTACCGCGAGGATGGAAAACGTCAGAAAGCTATGGCAGAAACGCGAGTATCGGTGAAAATGAAGTAAATAGGCAAAGAGCACTATGCTTCCAAGTTCATCTCGCAAATAATCGGTGAAACGACCGATGAAACGGCGAAAAATTGTTAAAAGAAAGTCAATGCACACCTCTAGCGCAACGGCTTCGTCGCGAGGATCGAGAAAACGGAGAAATCTCAGCGGAGACTCAAACGCGGTCCCAGAAATATTCTCCAAGCTGCACGACTCGTGATAAATGAGAAAAATTCTCGTTTAGAGTTTCTCGCGGGAACGATTCGTAGCGAAGATCGAGGAAGCAGATAAAATTTTAGCGGAGACGCGAACATTCATAGGGTTAGATTTCCACGTCGCGGATCGATAATTAACGCGGAAGATTCCCATCGATCCGCGTTTCCTGCGATTTTTAATTCCTCTCATTATCCGGCGTTATCTCGCGGACATTTGTAAACATCGCAAAAAGGGCCGATTTGACGTATCCCTTTTACGAAGCATTCTCGGCAAACAGCTGTACGGTTACTTGCTAAACGTCGTAAATCGGAGACCGGAAGCCGAAAGGCGGAGCGAGATCGGGGTGGCTAATGAACCTCTCGAAAGCCGTCATTACGCATACGGTAATTAACGCGCAAAACGGCCTTTCCTGGTCTCTAATCGAGTACCATCGATCCGTATTCAGCGTAAAGGAGCACGAAAAGAATTCCTTCCTTTTGCCGATCGAGCTTATCGATAATCAGCCCGATCGGAACATCTCGAATGGAAGGAAAAGAAAACGCGAGAGAAGAGGAGGAGGAAGAGGAGAAAGAGAAAAAGAAATGGCAGACACACGGATACAGCGAGCATCTGTGTATGGATGCAGCGGCAAAAGTGATCGGCAATCTCGTCACGTTTCGATTTCTAGACGATGCAGGTCGTCAGTGTCAGCCTGTGAGTCGAGACGGTGGAATGCAACGTCGAACGAACGCAACGGTACCTTATTTGTATCGTGCAGCCAATGTTAATCGCGCCACAAACAACCACGAACAAACGCTAACCGAGTCGCTTTCGATCGTGCTACTACGTCGAACGCTACGGGGCCAGAGGGAGAGCACGTGACGCGCACCGTGGATCTCGTTGCTTCAATTTAGTTGCAATTAGTTAGTCGCGATTAGCGGTAATTGCCCGTGGTCCCGCTTTCGAATCGCCCGGTGAACAGTTAGCTCCGTGGATCGCGGGAAAAATCCGGTCGTTCGATTCGTCGCCGTCACGATCGCTCGACTTTTTGCAGATTCCTCGAAAACCGGTGGGTAACTGGTCGTGACGACTTTATCCGATGACGACGTTATCCCGGCATCGGAATCTATCTCGAAAGTTACGGGAAATTGCGTAACACACGCCAACGAAGAGATGGGCCTTTTATTAGACGAAGATTAGGCAAAGATTTAGAGATCGGTAGGTGGAACGATGATGCTTGCTATCCGCGTAATCGTTTCGTCCTGTCTTCGAAGGAGAAATAATTTCACGAACTCCTTTGCGAAATTATCGTAGTTAGAATAATGGAATTTGCAGTCGAGATCTCCGCGAGATCTCGCGAGATCTACGACACAGCCAGCGCTTTTAACAGGATTACTCAATTACGAGGTTCGCATTACGGTTCGAATTATGCCGCCGATATTCACAAACGGCAGGATAAAACTCGATGGTAACGTTTTTACGCACGCTGCACTTTCACTCGTTTTTGGAATGTTTTTCGCTCGTGCAACAGCCGGCCCTTGTTTCGCAACATATTTTGCTCGCGATCGC